GTTGGCATGGTCCCACCTCTCCAGTTACCAGTCTTTCCAGTTACCTCCCTGAGCCAAGGGAAATTTTTCTCTAACCTACTTTTCTAGCTTTGCCCTGCTTCAGCATCATAGAGCAGCCTGAGTTAAGTGTCAGTTTAGCAATTCAGCTACTGTCAACAGCTTGTCGAGTCCTTCCATTTTCATGAGGCTGACAGCCTTCCCCACCTGCACTGCCACTTGATGCTAAAGGGAACATTTTTAAGGTACAGAAAATTTTACCTTATTGATGCTGCTAATTATTATTGAGAAAACCAAACCAGAAAGAGACCTAATCATTTCAATAAAGAGTTCGTACTAATTGTAAATGGATTTTTAAACAGATGCTCACCATCAAATGCTTCAGCCAGACTTATATCAGTTTCGCTGATATCTCCCATTCCAAAGTGAATGATATCCAATTTACATTCGTCGTCGGCATCATAGCTGTCCAGAATGTTCAGAATAGCTTCGACGGATCCGTCCACATCACCTGCGTGTAAAAACGGTGGTACTGCTGACTTGGTATGCGTCAAGGAAATGCTGGAGTAGAACTAAGGGAATGGCAACTCCACACTATGCAACACGGAGTCTTTCGACCGATCATTCTGTATTTTCAGTAGTAGATTAAAACACTTCTATCATGTCTGTTAATGCCAAAAATGAACTGTCTAACAGAACCAGAGGCTCCGCATCTGCTGTCATTTTCAGATCAAGTTTGTATAGTTTTTCAGTTACTGACATCACTGCTTATATATCACTCAATGGTAGGTCAAACCTAACATCCTTCTGTCCCACTTCAAGTAATACGTAATTGTTACTGTCCCCTGGTTTGCCTGTAGGTTTTTTATATATTTAAATATATTTAACTTATATGTACATATAGGCACTTGGATGGGTTTTACTCAGGAGTTCCTGGGTAAGGGCATTGGGCTCAAATTTTCCTGTGGTTCTGGCCCTGCTGGAAGCACATCCTGGCTGTTTCCCCGATGCCTCTCCTCTTACTGAGAGAAGTTCAATGATCTGTTCAGCTTTAAACTGATCTAACTTCTGGTGACAGAAATTTTGTTAATACTGCAGAGCAATGCTTCAGACTGAGCATTTGAGAAGCACAAAACCAATGGAGCAGTAAACAGAACAGAACAGCACCTTTAATAATTACCGATAGCACATTTTTGTCCATCTCCGTTCTCTCTTTAGGCCTGGAAAACATCAGATGCTTATTGGCCTTGTACAGCACCGCCTTCCTCTGCCTCCAGGTCAGATGGCCTAGCTCCGCTTGCTTCTTCTCATATTCCATCCTGTGTTCTTTTTGCTTTGCTTCAATAGCTTCCTCATCCCTTTTCATCTTCTCCTGTTGTTCAACATAGGTTCTCCAAGCCACAACTTCATGCGCCCTTTGCTGGGCAGGGAGAGACAGAAGCATTACCTTTCAAAGCAGCGCATCAGAAAACCCCACATTAGCACACTGTCATCCTTTTGCACCTTCTCTACAGGCTCCCTCACTTTTCTTTCACATTTAACAACAGATTTTGCTGCAGGGATGGCAGAGAATGAGCACAATAGCTTTCTCCCTGGGGTATGACGACTAACTCGAGGCCTGTTTTTATGGTTTCTCTGCACTGCAGAAGAGGATTGTTGTTCATTCTTTCACGCGGTGTTTGTCCAGCTCTCACACCACCTATTTCAAGCTGTATTTTATGCACATTCTTTCATCACAAACTAGTTCTCTCGCCTAAAATTAAAATACTGATACCGTTAAGTCCTGGACTGTTCTCCAGGTAGGGTGATAGTGTGATCACGTAAGAGAAAAGTCTCCTGTGGCTTTAGAAAGGGAACACGTCGGAACATATCCCAGATTACCCCAGCAGATGCCATTCAGGACTGCAGTCGTTGCACACAAAGCACGGAGAAAGGCAGGATAACCACAAGAAGCAAAAGCATGAATCAAAGGTGACTCAGTTTCAACTCCAGAGACAGCCTGCTCTCTTCATGTGATTGCAGAGCAGGTTACTCTGGATGCGTGGAGGTGCGGAGGGGACAGTCTGGCGGGGAGAGGCGGGGGCAGTGGAAAAGAAAGAGGCAATATGCAAACTCTCACTCCTCTCACAGAACACCTAGCTCAAGTCCCTTAATACACACAGGTTGGCCTTTTGTCTTTCATCAGATTATCCAGGTTATTTAGAATGAAAGCTGTCACTCATTTTTTTTACTCAGCTCCTTCCCATCCACCTTACTGCAGTATGAGTTTTCCATTAAACAGTTCTTTCTGTACCTCAGATTCTACTTCAAGGATTTCATCTCCCGCTGAAGGGACTTCCTTCCAGCCCATGATTTCCACTGGGATACCCGGAGCAGCGGCATCTACAACTCTGCCATTCTCATCAAACATGAAACGCACTTTTGCCCAGGTCTTCCCCGCAACCAGAACACAGCCTTTCCTCAGAGTTCCTCTTTGGATGATGGCTGTGGTCACCGGACTGGTGAAGAGCAGAGGAAAAATAACAGCTAAAATCAGTGACCCTTCTCCCCGTTTTCACAGCTAGCGTAGGTAAGCAAACGCAAACCAGAACGTACTTGTGATAGACCACAGGCAGAATATTCCTGTGACACACGTTACTAGAGCATTAATAAAATTTTAAAGTGACTTTGCAAAAAAGCCCCAAATCTGTACCGTACTCTTTTCATTTCTGCAGCTTGATACAAAACTGGGCATTTGTGAAATCAGCAACGGGCTGATCTTACACATTAAAGTGACCCCCACCACCAAAAAAACCCCAAACCACAACATCTTGCTAGAATTCAGTTCATTCTTAAAGAGGGCAGAACACACCCTCTTTACAGAGAACCTGCCAAAACACTAAAATATTAAAGAGCAAGATGTCATGTTACACAAAATTCACCAAAAATTGTACGTTAATTTCATCATTCCAACTTTTTAATGACATTTAAAAAACTGCATCTGTTCTATCATTTAAACTATTTCCTGTGTTAACAGGATTTCTTCTGTCCTATGAGGGATTTTGCCCAATCAGTTTCTCATGCTGTAGAGAGATATTTCAATGCTTTAGTTACAAACACCTCAATGAAACTGTTACAGTTTCATCTAACAACAACAAACAGTTCACTGTTATACCTAAATATTGAGGTACAAACCACCCAAACAGTATTTCTGCACTGTTACAAATTACTTCTTTAAAACTGTAAAGGCAGCCGATCACTTACCCTTTCCCTTTGTCTTTGCGACACTCGATCACGGTCCCTTCTACCAGACCCGTGGAATCTGCCTTCAGCTCTAACACCTCTGCTAAAGCAACAGTTGCTTCTGCTAAAACCATGAGGTTTTCACCCTGTATAAAACCACACACACAAGAAATACAAAGAATAAAGGAAGAAGCGCCAAGTGCCCGATTAAAGTAAGGTCAGAAGTTGGTCGGTGTTGGGACCGGT